AGGAAAGTGGTAGGTAGGATGGGGAAGGGGAGTCGTATCAGAGGTGGGAATAAGGGAGGGACATATTTTCTGAAAATTTTCCCCATCAGCAGGACGTGCAATGACTACGATGGCTCGGGTGAAGGCAATAAAAAAGCCAGCTCGTTCTTGGTATGCACCACTGGATCTTTTTTTGCGCAGATTGGACAGACCTGATGGATGGGTGCTTTTTAGATATTAATCGGGCACTATGTAGTCTTGACCAATTTATCTTCAGAACCCGTCAAATGCGCCTGGGACCTCAGGGCGCTTGACATGAAATGTTTAACCATTAAAAAGCTCAGCTCGAATAAGTCCTTGTCGTGACCGCGGAACCTGCTAAAGAATACCGCTCTTACTTGCAGAGGAAGAAGTTGAGCGCATTCAACAATGGGTTTCCTCCGAATCTTGCCACTCTGATGAGCTCCATGAGCTGAGGGTCTCTTTTTACTACACCCTCCTCCTAAAGGTACAAAATGCGACTTTATTTACCTTACTAAGGAAGTTGAATTCGCTTTGAGCGTAATAGTTGATGTCTCCATGGACTGTGTCTGGATCATCGACTTGGTTCAGTATCCGAACCTGTAGGATCAGGCCTGAAACGGTAGGTAAAAGCACTTGATGGTGCTGGAAGCAGAATTTTTCTTTATTTTTAAACCCTCAGATTTGGCTGGAGTGGGATCTCAGTGTAGTTCCAGCAAGAAATGAGAGCATGCCGACGAAAATTAGTGGTCTTTCCCCCATAGATAAGTAGCCAAATCAAGGACACAACCGTCGTACCCGTGATAAGACCTCCAACAACAGCTGATGCAAGAGCCGTGCCCATGCCGGCCAACTGATAAAGGGCTTGGATTTCACGATTCCTGTCACCATTCATTGGACCACCCTCGAAGTAGGGATATATATGGTAGAGCCTGAAGGTTTCTACATTACAAACCTTGTTGATAAGAGGAAGAGCAAAGAAACTAACGTTTTTCCGTAGCTTTCCGGCTCATATCCAAGTGCGAAAATTATGCTGAAGATCTGAAAGCATTACCTTTAACAAAATTCGAAGGTTTTTCCAACGAATCTCTAGGCGTAAGACGTAGGTTCCAGGAAGAACACAAAAGAGTGAACGGTTACTTTCCCTGCGTATTGCTACCAACAACCTCAAGAGAATGTCAAAAGGTGGGAAGGGTCAAGTCGAGATTTCTGCAAGCACGAACCCCAGCTAGAATTCCTGGAATTCCGTGAAGATTGTGTACGCCACAGGTGTCGAACAGCTTGAAGCGTTTCTCGAGTTTTGGCTGAAATCTGTAGACTATGACTCGTGGAAGTCAAAACAGAAATCAGAGAGCCTACTCACAGCTCAGCCAGCATGATCCGTTTACAGAACGAAACTTGCGATATGCCAACGCAACAGCGTGGAGATTGGATACAGTAGCCCGACCAAAAAAAAGCGTTGGCTGACATGATCCTAAACCGATTCATGGAATCATCTGAAATTTAAACACGTGATGACATTATCAGTGGAATAAGCTTAGGCGACACAAGTTCACAGTTATGAAAATTGGAAGCACTTCTGAACTTTGAAGCTGTTCGACTAAGGAGGGAGGTGGAGTCTGGTTTCCCAAAAAGTTACAATACTCTTTCAAAGCAAAAATGACTTTACCTATAGCCACTCCTCCTGAAAGTGTCGAGCTCTGAATGTGAATCATATTGAATCGACCGAGATTGTCGACGAATGAACTGAGTATAAACGTTGTCACCGTCCCGCTCGCCATCGCCAGGTATGTGTTCATAATGGCGCGATGACGTGCGTCTTCTGAAAACGAGACCTTGATCTTCGTTGAAAGATAGCACCCAATTTAGGCAGCACGTACGAACTGTAACCCGAAGTGATTTTTAGGGCATTTATAGTTATACATAAAAATGCAGAATTCGCTAATGGATCAGTCCACTTATCTCAGTCATCCGAAGAATAAAACCAAAACTGCACTCAGAAAGTTGTAAATGGTTTCCTAAGTATCAAGGATCGTATGCACAGTACTTGTCTACCGGCTGGTTTTAGTCCTCGGTGTGATTTCTCAACGTGCCTCAGTTGGGTTCAAGTAGCGAAAAAATCCTGAAGGAAGAGGGATACTTACTGCTGCACTTCACAGAAACTATGGGGCATCGGCTGGACTATTCATTCTAGGGGCATTAAGCAGACCTTTCCTCTACATCCTTACAGAAAAAAAGGGAAAGGGGTTTGTGTAAGCTGCAGTGGACAGTTTCGCTCTAGAAGGTAGTAAGGGGAGGGTATTGAGGCGCGAGGTTGCTCAAATGGCTCCATCTGAGGGCAAATGTGGCCGCCTCGTGACGGAGTCTGTCGTCTCACTGGTTTTTATGGTTCTTTTATTTAGTGCTGAGTTACTATAAATAGTTTGCTCTGGCCTCTCGCGCCGCAAACCGAAAGCATTCTTCCAACATGATGACAATCTTAGAAAATTAAAATTAAAAATAATCCATGAAATGTTACGGGTAGCCGAAGTGCTCAGTCTATAATAGTAGCCCATAGTAATTACTAACGTATACTAAACCAAATATACCCTGTTCCTTTCATTACATTAGGTGTTGTGCCATCTGCTTCCTGAGTTCGTTTGACTCACCTCGTTCTTGAACAGGCAAGGGGCATTGAAGAAGGGAAGAACCACCACAAAAGAGAGCGTTCCTGAAATGGACGGTCGCTAACAAGCGTTCTGAGTCGGAAGTTCACATAAATGCTGTTTTAGTGACACACAATTGGAACTGAACCTGAATTAAATGTTGATGCGAGAAAGTTTGTCAGGTGGCTTCTTTTTTTGCAGGTGAGCTACAGGACATTTTGAAGAATGCTGAATAGAAACAGGCAAGTATGTATGGCGCAGTAGGACTGCGGGTGCTAACCACTAGATCTCGTCAGGAATAGCGTAGTGTGGGCCGTGCCGACCCGGCTTGCTTTTCCCACTGTTCCTTCTTCCAAAAAAGGATCGTTGGGCGCTGTTCGGCGACGAGAGGGTGGGCAGGGTACTCTGCACGTTCACTGCTGCTCTAGTTCCGGTTTTCAGGTTTCACTCTGGTAAACCCTGTGAACTCTTGTTAAGCTAGAGTAGGCTCATCGAGCTACCATGATAAAACCTGTCAACCCTTGTGAGCTCATGAAATAGCTCTCTGGTTAGTAGCAAAGTGCAAAATGCCCCCCCCCCGTCGCCGAACTGCGCCCGGTCGTTGCTTTTAATCATAGAGGATTATGGCTCGAAGGTGCACTTGTGAAGCTTGTGCAGTCATTAGAACAAAAGAGAAGCGGATGGTAATAAGTGACTTCTGCAAAGAAGCTCAGAGAATGTACTACTAGGACTACAAAATGATACTTCATGGGTAACGACCTAGAATCGAAAGTGCCCGGCTTGTCAAAAACATTGATAAGGACTTTCTTATTAACCTTAATAAACTGATGTACCAGTAAATCCTTACCGATCATTGAAAAGAGATCCGAGTGGTGAATGGAGCCCTGTTCGTCCAATTCCATTACATTTTTCTTCTTTCCAACCAGTGCCGCTGCTAAACCGAAATACGCACCGAAGGCATGCACAACAAGCGAACGGCCTCCATCATTGACCTATTGAAATCCACTGATAAGCTTGTTTTATTACACTAACTGCTACTTACGCTAATGCATCAGTTCACGTTCCGAAAGATATCACAAGTAACGCTGAGCTATGGATAGATTTC